ATATGTATATTAATATTCCAGTAGTATTATTATCAGCAGAATTTATAAATATATATATTTTATTTCATCACTTTTTTTTTTTGAAAAGCAATCATCTTCTGACCAGTGCTCTTCACAAAGATAGACTCTTCTATTACCCAATCAGATGTGTGAAGGCAAATATTTGTGTGTGCAATATATTTGGATTATCATAATTTGTATCACGCCTTTATTATAGTCGACAACCCACTCAATAGCGTGATTAAAGAAGAGGATATTTGCATTGGAGTGGATAAGTCAATAAAGCTACAAAAACAGTGCTCTGTTGCTAGTACTTTAAGGTGTTTTTAAAGACATAATTGTTACAAGTCAAGAGATGTAATTATCTCTTTGAATAAATGATTAGTTAAGCCTAACTTGGAATATAGTAGTATGTACAGTTTGGGTTTCCTTATCTCAGAAGGGATATCAATCTGTTGAAAAAAGCTTAAGGCGAGGGTTACTAAGATAATTCTGAAGATGGAAGGATTATTTCATAGGATTAGGTTATGATCTCTTTAACACATTTTCTCTTGAGAAAGAAAAGGGGTACGAGGTAATCTTATTGGATGAAAACATTAATCAGGAGAATTGGGAAGATAAAGGCCCCTGATTTCTTTGTGCTGTCTATAAACAACATGACGAGAGAACTCAAGTTTAAGGTTTGCAAAAGACAGGCTATGTTCTAGTTAAGTTTTATTTCTATTTGTCTGACAGGCCGTTTGTTCAAGGAATAAGTTGCTGTCGGCAGTAGTGGAAGCCAAGACTTTACAGGTTTATGAGCAGAATGGGTGATTTTTTGAAAAAAAATAAAGCGTGAATTTAAATTTTTACTTTTCTTGAAGATAATTGTGCAATTACAGCCTCGAATGACCATAAAAATCTTTATTCATAAAAGTATAGTGTATTATACCCATGGGAGGCCACACTTGGACCTTTTTTTGTGACTTGAAAGTATGGTATAATGTAATTATTCTTGTCCTTGTCTTGTGGAGCGTGCTTGGAAATCACCCCAGCAGCCAATAAGGTCATAGAAGAAACTTATAGGCCGGCTAGCAATCCATGGGTTATCTATGTCACTATCTATTCCAAAAAAAAAAACATATTCAAGGGTGAGATCCCCCAACTCATACCAATTTGTATAAAGTATCTCTGTGACCCCCCGAATTGGTCTTGCTCTCCCCCTGGGGAGCAGACACAGACATACGTTTTTATGATATAGCCATTCCATATATAACCTTTAAGGGATTAGCACGTTACGACTTTTCATCATCCGCTTAACAAGAATGTCATAATAACGAAAGTTTAGAAAAATTACCCAAATATATCTAACTACAGATATATTCTGAACTAGTAATATAATAATGAAACTATTAGTTATTTCAACTACGATGCTGTTACATTCTTCTTATTAGAAATTCGTAAAGGATCGATAAAGAAACATTTGTTAAAAATGATCAGTCTTATTTTGATATAATGCCACACAAACTACAGATCAATAAATGACACTTTGCTGACATTGTGTACGGTAATAATTAATACTTTATTATTCTTCGTTAGAAAACAACATTGAGAATGATCACATTAATTGTTTGTTTGTTTGTAGTTGAGCTCAAAGCTACACAACGACTATCTATTCTGTGCCAACCACGAAATATGTATTATAAGTCCGCTGCCCACCCTGAATATGTATTATAAGTCCGCTGCCCACCCTGGGAAAAATTTAGGTATTGTCTTTCCAGGGTGGGCAGCGGACTTATAATACATATTGCCAGATTGGATCATTGGGCCAGTACGCAGAATGTTTGTGAGATCAAATGGCAACACATATTATCCGAAGCACAATCAGCATACAAAACATGCTAATGCCACGGGGGATTGGGGGCATGACCCCCAGAAAATTAGTAAATATAGGTGCTATGAGATTAAATCTGGAAGCACTTTTGCATGAAATATAGCTTAAACAGTTGCATGGCTGTTCACGTAAAATCCACAAACATCCGAAACGTTAAATGCGCTATAACTATATAATAATTTGTTTTTTACGTCACAGGCATAGGGGGGTTCGATTGAATCCCTCCCTGCGTACGCGTGCGATCATTTGCTGTTTTTGTGATCACTTAAATTATGTATAACTGAGTAACAATGTTAATTTCCGGCAACAGCCAGAGGTTGTTTGTTTGTGTGTGGAAATACGGACTATCATAATTACACAAATGTTTGAAACCAGTTAAACAAAAACAAATGATTGCTCATTTTAATGTATCCATTCAGATACACAGCGGGGAAGTTGTTGACATGTTATCGTATTACAGGTATTTACACTACATAGTCTGGATTAGAGCATGGAAGGTCATTTTGATGGACCCATTCCTATCCACAGTGGGAAAGTTGTGGGTGTGCTATCAAACTACAGTTTGCTTGTTCGTTTCTTTGTTTGAAGTTAAGCACAAAGCTACACAATGGGCTATCTGTGCTCTTCCCACCACGGGTATCGAAACCCGGTTTCTAGCGTTGTAAGTTAAGTCCGCAGACATAGAGCTGTGCCACGGGGGGGGGGGGGGCAGACAACAGGATGGACTACCTTGAACGAAATATAATACAGTAATTGATTGGTCAGATGAAACCCTGACTTAAACTCCATAGAACACTTCTTGTACCTTATTAGACGCCTTGCACATCATGAAGTAACGCTAAATGTACCACTGAGGAGTTGCCACGATCACCCTTATTCATGCCTCCTCCATGTATACTAACTAATTAGAAATTCAGAAAATCATTGCTCGAGGTATGTTATTGTAAAGCAGCAGTATATGCTAATAATAAAAACTTTTTATATAAACTATTCCATGCTACAGACATGATTACAACCCCCCATCGTATAAGAAAGTAACACATTTTTAGTAGGGAATTAAGTGAGAAAAGGTTGGCATTTCTTCTGCACGTGAAACTTCACAGGACTATACAACTATATATATGTAGCCTCAATTATCATCGTAAAAGAAATGACAATAAATTCTTATCACTATAAAAAATTAAGGCGTGCTTTTCTAATATTGTTTATAAACGACAATGGTTTAATTAATCTCTAACCCCACAGATAATATGCTTGTACTCATCGTTGTGGTTTTTTGATCCTCAAGAATGTCGTGTATTTCCTAGTGCAAAATGTATATACCATTGACATAAAATCAAAAGCCAAAAAAAAAATAATAAATTGCAGATGTGAAATACGCGCGTGTGTATGGAATACATTATTTCAGGTGATTTTCTTTCATTCGAGGCCTTGACAAAACATCACAATTATCATTTCCTGAAAATTTTGTTCTTGTTGGTATTGTGATGTACTATGACAAAGTAAGTAGTGTATCCTTATTAAAACTTCTGTATTTATAACGTTTAAAGAATCGTTTTAAACATACGAATTACCTACGCCCCCACAAACTAACCACCACACAGCAATTACGCATTCTACATATTTTTATTGCAAGTGTCCTTTCAAGATGGTAACTCAGAGACTGGTTTCATTGTTACAAATGGACTTTCATGGCTTTTACAAAGCTTCCTACTTTGTCAGGATTGGGTTATACATGAACTTCAAGCACACAGAATAATAGCAACAATTAAATGAGCATAAAAGCTGCTGACAACAAGATAAGAGTGATTTATAGTTTCAGTGACATGTTCTTTGAGAAGCAATTATTTTTACACTAACCTTAGTGTACTCTATTTATTCATTTAGCTAATGTTCAGGAAATGAACAAAATATTCAGTTAGTGACGAGATGGATAACTTTTAAAGGTAACATCACGAATAGAAAGTTAAACTCTTATGGTTACTGAATACGCTGTCGGTTATACATAAATGTTCTCATATATGTCAATGATTGGTTATAAATTGTTTGGGCGTGACATATGAAG